ATATATAAGCAAAATTTCTTTAATTATACAATAATAATCTGTCAATGTTTTCTTAAAAATATGTTAGTCAACTCTCGAATATCATATTATTACTGTTAGAAAAATAATTTAAAATGTTATCAACAGCCTTCAATTTTTGGCAAAAAAGAAGAATAAAGATATAGAATATTATACACACGATCGGATGAAACATGTTCATTTTTTTGGATTGCGGTGACGAAAAAGCATTTATACAACAATTTGCAATCAACTATTACCAGCCGATCCAATACGATCGATTGTTCGCCACAATCTTTTTCCAACCGTGCCAAGGAGATTCCAAGTTTTCGCGTGATATTTCCGCGAACATGTTATCGTTCTTTGATCGTATTGCCGATTTCGTCGACATGTTCGCCGGTGCACCTTTGTCATCCTCCTCCTCGATATCTTGATACTGCAATTCGTCATCCATATAAACGACTGCATTATCGTCCTCGCTGGCGTATTTGTCATACCTCTCGGCAACATCTCGCTTTGTTACTTTGCTCGTAGTTACGAGCGTAGAGTTTTGATCAAATACAGAATCACGCGCGACGATTTCGAGTGGAGACTGTGGTTCAATTATAGGCTTGAAACCGATCGATCTGAGCCGTTCGATTCGCAGGTCGCTGTCGGACACGCTCGCAACAGGCACAAAGGCCGACGTTCTGTCCTGCGAGGAATCCGCGGATTCTTCGTCGCGATTCGAGTTATTCCTCTTTGTAGAAGCAGCGCAAAGTCGCAATGTTTGACAAATTTGAAATTTTCGATCGTTGTCGGTTACATTGCATATAGATTCCGATCTCAGCTTCTCGTACTTGTCCCACTCCATCTTCAAGATGGCCTTTCGATCGTTTAGTTGTCCGATAACATAGACTTCTGGATTTTCGGAGATGAGTCTGCATTGTGTCGTCGCATCCATCGTGCTGGGTTTCTGGGCTTGTTTCTTATGAAAATAGTGTAAGAGCGGCGTTTGAGCAGCGCGATGTGATAAAGGGATCGTCAATTTCTTTCGAAGGCTTCTGTCAAAGGAGGTCTTGGAAATGTTACGATCGTCGTCGTCGTCGTCGTCGTCATCGTCGTCGTCGATTGTCACGACTCTATTCTCCTTTCTTTTGCTGACATTATTACGATTATGTTTATTCGCGTTATCGTTGTTAGTGGTAACTTCGAAATTTTTCCGCTTTTCGATCGAATCGTTGATACTTTTAGCATTTGTTCGCAGAGCATTAGATATCCTGTATCTGTTCTTGGTTTGTCCATCGCTGGCACGTTTGACTTTGGTCAGCTTACTCTTGCGTTTAAAACTAGACTTGCATCGTTTACTAGGTGAATATATCACGGTATTGAAAGTGCTGTAACATCTCTTGTTTGCATACGCGTTGTTTTTGCATCGCAATCTCCTATTTCTGGGCCCGCGAGTTACAGGACTAAAATTGGCGTCTATTGATAAGTTGGCGATTTCTCTATCTCGTTTCTTGTATCTGCTCTTTTTGATCGACGAGTCGGGAAACTCCTGCTCCATTGCGCCTTTATCGGTCCTAAGACGAGTTTTTATATCGTATGAGCTGCGAGTATGTTGGGCGATAGTCTGAATCGAAGTTTGTACACGAAACGGTGACAAATACTCGTTGTTCTTCTTGGATATGCCACTCTGATTACTCTTCCTCGCATTATTGTTACATTTCTGATTTGCATCATTGCACGATTGGCGATCTACGCTAGATAGAGTCTTGTCAAATTTTCCCGCATCCGACCGCATTTTCCAAGATAATCTCTTGGATTTCGTATATTTGCAGTATCTTCTGTTGTCCAAACATGCAACATTCTCTTTTATATTATCTCCTTTTTCACGTCTTTTCTTAAGATTTATCTTTGACGATATATGCATCTTGCTCTTAGAATCCAAAGTGGATATCTTTGATCCGTCCAACATTGCACATTCTTCAGTCGTTAATCCTATTACATTTCCGATCAATAACTTGGAAAGAGGATGATGCTTCTCCTTATTAATCAAGTTCAAGATCTTGTCTGGCGTCAAAGAATCCAAGGATTTCATACTCTGTGCGCAGAGCGATTCATTTGATATTTCTAAAGTATCATGATTGAAAATTTTTTTATGTGTTGTGATTGAACTCCTCGAAATTGATTCGTTACTGGGATTTGATATTTGTATATCTGGTTCATTATTGGAATTTAAATTTTGTGAATCCGAATACTGCTGAACATTTTTAAGTTGTTCATTACCCTCGATAATATTTGTATCATTTTCCAGGCTACTTAGCGACGTAGACAAGACGGAGGAATGCGAATGTTCCAACGAGTTTAAAACTTGCCAATTTCTTTTGCGTTTCTTGAATGGGCAAACGATTTCGTTTGCGTTCTCAGCCACGATATACCTATTACAAGAAACATTTTCACTTAGTTGAGGAATATCCACTGTTTTATCTGTATCTAGTCTCGTAATAATCTTATTATCCTCTTTCGATGTCAAACGAACACTCTCCATATCCAATGCAGGACGAATAGGGATATCAATAGACTTGGATGGTTTGTGTAACATTGTTGAAACATTCTTCTTTGCGTCCTGCACATTATGCGACGATTCGTATAAACCCATGCGTATCGAGATGTTTGTACTGTGGGTTTTAATAGCTGAGGCACCGAGGCACGTTAATGTCTTTTGATCGGATGCAATGGTCGATATCGTGTTCTCCGCGTTACTCGGCGGTTTCTTAAAAACATGACGCGTGACGATGGAACTTTCAGGTACAGATTTTCGGCCGATATCGACAAACTCATCTCTGTGGCCGAGTTTTCGCTTACCGCAAATACCGGTAGTGTTATACGAACATTTTCTCAAATCGTATGCATTCGAGTCATTTGATTTAGACAGTGGAACATATTGTCGCGCGGAAATTAAATTTTCCGAGTTTGTGCTGCTCCAGCTTGGCGGTTCTTGATCAGCCAGACGCATTAGGGCAAACTTATTGTATTTGGTTCCATCCAAAGCCACGCCTATCCAACAGCCTATAACTATGTAGAGCCCGTCGTATCTATAACCCGTGTTAGGCGCGATATCGTCTTGCAGATTGTAGCTTCTGATTAATCTTAATGGTATCTGATTTTTATAGTTGCGAATAAACGGATCCGCGCCGGCTTGCTCCTCGCGATACACCTGACCTGTGAGCGTGAGAAAATCACCAAAATCTACATCCTCGTTCATATTGGTATGAGAAGTGCAAACTGAAACAACACCAAATGGTCCTTCGTGTATGTCGGCATCAAACGGATCGTGCATGTGATCCCTGGAGCAATCCATACGTATGCCCCACCAGGATCCAGGTGGAAAACCCAGAACCGGGCCGTACCAGCAATATGCGATAACCTGAACAGAAATACATGAATCTACATTATTATATATTTTGTTGTTTGCCAAAGATCAATAGCAACAATGATATTTACGCTCGTATTGTAGCATAGTAGGTTCAACTTTTCTGACGTTTTCACCAAGTTTGTTTCCACAGTTTGGTTGAGTTTGCTAAACAATTTGTTTAGACCTTGCCTAGGCCAGTCCTTTGCCTAAAAGACACGTCAATACATGTAAAATAATATTAATAAATATATGTAAAATTCGTACACGACACGCAAATGTTTTTCTAGAACAACATAAACAGAATAAACAGGATGGTACCTTTCGGCATTGGATATAAGGTTTCTCGGTTCCTAAATGTAGTATAGATAAAATTACCTTATGGCGCAATACCTGATTCTTAATTCGCGCCTCGAGCAACCTCTTCTTGTTCTCCTGAATTGTATTCGCGCACACGATCCTCGATACGTCGTTACTCGCCCTCGCCATTTTACAAACGACAAAAAGATGAGCCGCGTACGCCAAGATGCGTTCCACAATTGATTGCGAGACAATCCGTTCTCCATTCAGACGCAGACGGTGAGTCCAACCCGCGAATGCAAATGGCCGCCGCGGTTGTTTCGTCGATCACTCGCGCGATAACTTTGCGATGTAAACACGCGACTAAAATTAAGTCTGTTCATTTTAGTTGCACCTTCTACGCTCTCTGCTTCTCTTTCATTCTCTCCTCATCAGAGTGCATATATATATATACATATTATATCCAACTGTTTTACTTTAAACGCAAAATAGTGCAAGTAAAAAGAAATTTATTACGTATCGAAATCTTGTGATAAAGCAGTTGCAACAAAATATCGGAAACAATCTTGAAAAATTTGTCCATTCGAAATATTTAGGTATCTTTCTGCTTTTTATGTTAGTTACACTTTGCATCCTCTTTTACTTCGAAATGAGATGGAGATGTGTATTTAGATATATTGGAAAGAAAAAAAGAGAGATGGAAACAAATTATGGAAAGCAAGATTAAAATGAATAGATTTGCTTGGATGGATAAATTTAAATAACGGCAAATGTTGCACACACATTATAATATAAGGTATAGTAAATATTCGGCATCGCGAATGCCTTATTTACGTTTGAAGGTATATATATATATATATATAAGCTACTTCCGGGTCAAGATAGCTTGACATCCATTGACATCGCGTTTAGGTATTCGCACATTACGGCTATTGCTTTTGGCAATTTTATTCAACGATTAGAGAGTTTGACAGCTGTCGGACTTGTTATTGTAATACAATGTGTCATGGTTTCGCGTTTGCTATTTGATGATAATTAGCAAAATTCTTCTCGAAAGAGGAACAATGATGAGGCGTGAAAATTTAGACGCGTTCGATTGAAAAGTTGAAGATATTTATGAGATGGAATAAAAGGATCGCATAAATTGATGCGCGAAAGGATAAAATTGTAGGATATCGTTAGAACGTAGGGACTTTGGGGAGGAAGGTTGGGGAATTTAAGGCGAACACACGAAAGGATTGGAAATGGCGGTCTGGGAAAGGAAAGGCTAGGACCAGTAGGACCGCTGGGATGTAAAGGGGTAGAGGGTGGGGGGAGGGGGCGGCCCCGATGCGCCTCGCGGCCGCAAGATGGCGTACGACGTGCGACGCTGCTTTTGACGTTCGCGTAGGAGCTTTTTTTTTGGTTCCCCGTACTCGGAATGCGCGAGGAAGTGATATTTGCTAGCTCGTCGTTGAATCCACTTACGGAGGATCGAGGATGTTTGGGGAGGTGTTGGCCGCGACGCGTGCCGTTCGACTAATCGGTATTTCGATTTCGAGTACGTAGTACTTGGCCCGAGGCCCGAGGCGCGCACGAGGTCCCGCGATTGGCCAGTTTACGAAAACGACGATGGCTCCGTGAGGTGAGGAGAGAACATGGCTGCGACGCAAGCCGAGAGCCAACAAAACGATGTGAAGCTGAACGAGTCTGTGAAATGCGCACAGAAGCGTACGCAAGTAGGTGGTGCGAATAGTGCGAGTGCGAGTGCGAAGCAGCAGCTGGATTCTGAGCCGGACGATAAAGTGTCCCGGGGCGCGGCCCAGCTGCTTAAATATGTGAATCGCGGCGGCGGCGGCGGGGACACGACGACGGGCTACGAGATGAGTCAATACCGCGAGGACATTGGCGGACACGGTGCCGCCGGTGAGGTAAAATCGCCGCGCGAGGCGCCCCAGGAGCCCGTCGGCAAGCAAGAGGCTCACGACGCGCCCGGCCATCCCGGCGCCCACCCGGGCCATCCGTTCGCGCCAAACGTGATACGCGATTACGCCGACGAGTACAGCAACAACAAATCCGCCGGCGAACCCTTCGCCGCGAGCAAGTCGCTCGCCGATTATCCCCCCGGCAAGCAGCTACCGGAATACGTCACCAAGCACGCGGACTTTCCCGGACCCGGCAAGCAGCTCGATTATGGTAAACACTTGATGCACGAGAGCGAGCGGGCGCACCGGGCCGAGATGGAGGAGCACTATTCCGGCTCCAAGATCGAGTCGCGTCTCGGATACGTAGGCGCCAGTCCCGCTAATTTCTCCGCCCAACCGAGGTTTCTCACCGGACAGGGTATATCCCAGACCGCTGGTCCTACGCCGACGTTGAACCAGTTGTTGCAGGCCACCACTCCGTCGATGCATCGCTTTCACGGAAATTATCCCGGAATGGGCTCCGAGCCCTATCAACAGCCGTGGCCTATGCAAAGGCCACCGGTTGTACCTCCTGTGTATCCGCAACCTAGCCAGCGTCCTCCGCAGACGGTAAATCCACCCCTCTATCTTCTTTGTATCTTTGTATCTTGCGCGATCAAAACTTGCCCCTTCTTCTCTGTAATCTTTATCGTATCTTTACAAATAGAATCATAGCTATGGTTCCTTTTACCAATCTCTGCTTAACGTGTACGATTCTAACTCGATTATTTGCTTTTCAAATTGACAGGGTTCGCCGAGATTACACACAGGGCCAGGAGGACAGAGTTCTCCGACAACTATGCAGTATCAACAATATGCCCAACGATATTCCTCTCCTACGAGACCTCATGCACCTTATAGTCATCATCAGGTAAACAGTTTTATCGAATCTAATCGGTGATTTTAAATTTCGTCTTTTTATGAAATATTTGACTATATATATATATATATTTTTTTTTTAGCTAAACTCTTATACGACGCAAACCAGTCATCCTTCAAGCTTATATACAGAACAAAGGGGGTGGAATCAAGGTGGTCCGCCAAATCCACCTCCACCACCGAGTAATCAGGTCACTCCATCGGGTCAATCGCCACAGCGAGCTCTGTCTCAATCCCCAGCTCCACCACCAGCTGCATCGCCGCAACCACAGGCTACTGGTCAATCTCAGGTGAACATTGTTAAAATTTATATAATTGATAGTCGTTGATTCAGTTTACATCTAATCTCACTAGAAATGTTACCAAAATTTCAGATAGGTATTTGCGTACATCATTCCATGTGACAAAAATTATTTTTGTAACAAAACAACTTTAAAATAGCTACATGTGACGGTTTAAATATAAAAAGTAGTTTATTTGTAGAAATAATGTATTTCTTTATAAAGGCAAAAAAAACATCTTGACATACAGATTGTTTCTTGCGAATAAACTCGACATATAATAATCGCGTCATTGATACGAAGCAATATTTGTTTATATATTTAGAATATTAATCAAAAATATTTGATTGTAATGTAATGTATGTTAACGATATGAATTATGAAAATGTTTATAGATTAATGCATGCGCGCGTGTTTGTAAACATCTCAAATGTACAAATCTAATCTTCTGTTTGCATTTTATTTTACAAATTTATAATATAACCCGCGTTAAATTTTATAAAGTTAATTTATTGGAAATATTTTAGAAATATATATAAATATGTGGCAAAAAAAGACAAGGGAAAGTAACCGATTCGTTACTCTTTTGCAAGTTATTTTAAAATTAGAAAAACAAAAGAGGCATGATAGCTTCTTGTCTTTTTAATATTAGCAAAATGTTAAAGAATATATATTGTACATTTCAATATTTTCGTGATGTAATAATGGAATATTTACATGGTGTGTGTTTTTCTTTTTAGGCTTTTCACAATCTACAACAGCGAGCTACGACACCAAATACTCAAGGAATTGATTCTGGGGTGAGTTTTTGTATATATATTTGTATGCTTTTTTAAAAATAATTTTATTTCAACGCTAAAGAAATGCCATCGACACTACGTTTAAAGCACCTCTTTCTCAAGGTTCAAATACGCGCGCAATAAAAAAGCTTAAAGCACCGTGAACGTGGCAAACAAGTTTTTGCCGGCAATTGCATAATCCCCGTCGTGTGACAAGAATGACATCGCGTCACAGAGAACTTGCGTACGAAATGCGTTTGAATCTATTCTATTCTCCCATCGCAAAAGTGGTTCTATACTGATACCGGTCGAAATTTAATACTACATATATGTTTGTATATACGTGTACGTGTGTATGTGTGCTCTCGCGAGCATTGTCTGTTTAACGTAAGGTCGCCGATTCCGGCGGAATCATAATGACGGGACTGATGTCTATAATCGACGGCGAGAGTTCTTCGTCTTACGAAATATTATTTAGTCTTTAATACGGTCTCTTGGTACTCTCGGTCAAGTATTTTCCCGACGAAAAGAGCAAGCGAGAGTGAGCGAAAGGGAGGCCTCTCTCGCTTCGTGGTGTGCGAGGATTAGATGGCGAGGAGAAGTGACACGACGAAAGAGGATGAGGAGGAGGAGGAGGAAGAGCAAGGGAGGATGAGAAAGGAACAGAAGAGCGTGAGAGGAGGAAGAGCACATGACGGGGTGGGGGATGGAGAGTGGCAGCGAGACTCGTGGAGTTCGATTAGGGCGCGAGTTGCGCGGGGCCGCCGGAGCCCCAGATATTAGCGACTTCCCCTCCGTTCTCCCGCTCCTATCCCTCGCCCCGGTTTTTCCCCCCCCTCGATTCCCTCCACTTCCCTCCACTTCGTCGCGTTTACATGGGCGGGTGAGCGAAAGAACCGAGCGGGGTACGATGCGAACGCGAGCGCGATTGGTCGAAATGGACGACAGCGCGACAGGCTGTGGGTAATCCCCTCTCTCTCTCCCCCCCCCCCGTCGAAGACGTGACGTTTTACGTCGTGCTCGGCTATATTCGGTTCGCCGGATCATGCGACTGTCACTCTGCGACACGCTATCCAACTTCTTGCGCTCCCACGGCGCGGTTTCGAGCCGTCCGACTAGTAATCGAAATGTACGTACCTACCACGCGGATATACCATGGAAGGAACGAAAGAACGCGACTCGAAGCTACGCGCTATTATTGCAGGATTATTGCTACGCCCAACCCGGATGCGAGTCTTCGGACGCCGTGGCTGTCGCGGCAGCGGAAACCATCCCAGCGGCTCTCCTCGCGAGATACTCTTCTCCTCGAAATAATATTACGCGGGATGCGCGATACCCAAGGGGAATAGGACATCGTCGGCTCGACCATCAGGGCGGCCGGGAGTTTGGTGCTCGCGATCTTTAAGTTAACCGCACGAATCGTTCGCGGAGTACATGCGCTCTCGATGCCCGCCATGTTACTTTTAGCGAGACTC